AATAGAGATGGGGTCTCGCTCTTGCTCAGGCTGGTTTCGAACTCCTGAGCTCAAACAATCTGCCCGCCTCGGCCTCCCAGAGAGCTAGGATTACATGAATTTTATATTTAGACTTGGGTCCCATCTCCAAGATATCTCAGTATGTATATACAAATATTCCAAAATCTGAAATCTGAAACACTTCTGGTCCCAAGCATTTTGCATAAGGGATACTCAACCTATACTTGCCAGCCTTTATTGCTTGATCAGTAAACCCTGCTAATGGCTTTTCATAGATCATCACAATTAATTCACTCAACAACCCAATGAGTTCAATATGATTAGGCTTAATAAATTGAAATGGAATAAGCTCATCATTAAAAGAGAGAGTGTCAGATTAGATGTCTTTTTTAATCCAGATATATGTCCTTTATAGGTGAGAAAACCCGAATATTTTTTCTTTTAAATCCAATGTTCTTCACCTATACCTACTGCTTTTCATCGAGGCCCATATTTTATTTTCTATCTCAGGCATTAGCAAAGTACAGCCTTGCACACCAAATTTGGCCCACTGCCTGTTTTTGTAAATAGAGGTTTATTATAATGTATCCACACCCATTTGTTTATTAATATATATTTTCTATGGCTAATTTCTTGCTACAGCAGCAGAGTTGAGTAGTTGTGATAGAGACTGTATGACCTGCAAAGCCTAAAATATTTACTCTCTGGCCTTCGACAGAAAAAATGTGACCACCTCTGTTCTGTTAGTTTCTTGGGAATTTGGAGGAAGTCCCTAAGTGGGATTCTATATTCACCAGTACGAAAGTCAGAATAAGCATTTTCTTCAATGTGGAAAAGAGAACATATAAGAGAGAAAATAATTTCTATCAGTTCTTATCTAGTATTCCTTTCTGGGGTTGTGAAAACAGGTGCAACATCCAAAACCCAAAGGTGTCACCTGGAAGGTGCCTGTACACCTTGACTAGAACCCTTTGGACACTGACAATCTCAGGACAACTCCTAGGTCTTCAGGTTTTCTACTTTCATCTGTCAAACTTTTCTTTCTTCATGAACACTTGAAATAAATGATGCCCAGCTGAGCAGGAATGTGTGTCCTGTTTTAGGAAGGAGTGAACTTCAAAATTGTGACTGTGGACTTCACTCAGGAGGAACAGGGCACTTGGAACCCTGCTCAGAGGACCCTGGACAGAGATGTGATCCTGGAGAACCACAGGGACCTGGTCTCTTGGGGTAAGGATACAGTCCTTGGACCTTAATAAAGGTTTGACTACTGAAATGATTTCACATTCTCATTGATTAAGAGCTTTTTAGCAGCCAGAATGATTTTGGCTGCATGCAGATTGTGTTTGTGCTCTTTATTCCCCAGTGAAGACTAACTTTAATTTATAAAGGGTAGAAAAGGCATTATACAACTCCTTTTTTTTTTTTTTTTGGTTAATATATTATCTTTATAATTCAATGAAAAGGCAATGTTTATCATGTTTCATGTATTTTCTTCTCTCAAAAGTTCTCAATTCTTGTCACTCAAACTTGTAAGCAACTGAGCAGCTTCTGTGTGTACCTGTTTATCCTCCTCCGTGTGTGCCGGATAGTCCTTGGTTTTCATTAGCCAGAAAGCAGCAAGCTTTTTGTTGTGTAGTTTCAAGTATGTTTTTCCTAAAAGAAGCAAGTTTTTGCTATAGAAGTTTGGATCCACTTGTTCTGCCCTGTGAAAGTAGCCTAAGGCCTCCTCATAGGTGGAACTAGGAGGAGCTGCAAACAGCATTTTGGCGATTCTTCTTTGATACCAAGGCATTTCAACAAATGTGTAGCACCAAATACCCATAAGGTGAATTGAGGTGGCATCTTTAGGGTTCAGTTCAATTGCTTTCTCAAAATGTTCCTTGATAATGTACGCATTTGCAATTTTAACCTTGATGCCTTCGTAATCTCCAACATCACTAATGCAGATTGCATACCACTTATGAGCTGCAAAATTTGATTCATTTTTTTCTAGTGCTCTTTTTGCATACTCTAGGGCTTCATACACCAATAGCTTTTTCTCTTCTTCTGAGGTTCTGCTAAGCTGAGCTACATCACGTGATGCCCATGCCAAACGCCACAGTAGCTCTGCATCTTCACTTTCCTTGTATTGGGTTAGCAACTGAGAAAGTTTTTCTGTTTCTCCACTTTCGTATAGGTAGTCTGCTTGTTCAAGAATTTCTTCAACTTTGGCTGTAGCATGAACCACAGCAGCCTGAGAAATGACTTGATAAGTTTCAAAACCCAAATAAGACAAGGCTGAGACTAAAAGGCCTCTTTTGAAAGTTCCTGGGTTTCTCATTACCTCAGAGACGCGGAATTGCCCGGGGCCGCACTGTCCGCGGCTGCCGGAAGTCCCCATGGGGAGCCAAGACCCCAGGGTGGCTCCACGTCTCAAAGGGAGGAAGCGCCACAGTCGAGCCGCCAGCGCCATGCCCTACAACTCGCAGGCTGACACTTTACGCCTTTGAGCAGCTACCAAGGCGGGCCAGGTTAAGGAAGCCGCAGTCCTTCCGCTATACAACTTCTTGAGCTTGAGCTTTTTCGATCTTCATGGTTCCTAAAGGCCAAAGGCTGGGACAAAATTCAGCAGTGATTTTCCTTTGTCCCCAGCCCAGACACCCAAAGCCCTTTGTCTTTCCTCATCAGCTTTTCAAAGCATACTCAACCTCTGTGTTGGAGCAAGGGAAAGAGTATAAAAAGAATTTCCCATTGCATGTGTCCAGGTGGGAACCAGACACATAGGGGTCATTACAGGTGTAGAAGGTTTGTTTGAAAAAATCCCCATAAAAGATACCAAATTTTTCTCCGTTTCCCATCTTCTGGTGGACTATACACAAGACCACTTTTTCCAGGTGTACTCTCTATTGCTTGACCTAGTAGCCACCCAGGCTACTAGGAGCAAACCTCCATTCTCTCTCAGTTGGAATCACAGGAATCTGTGAGGCTATATTAGCACCTAAGGTATTTAGGGAACTGGGATAATAGTACCACTTTCCTTTTCCTGGGTTCACAAATGTTGTTTGCTCATGTCTTGCTGACACAGACTATTCTAGCAAGTTTCATGCCTCTAGAAATTCCTAGAAATGTAGATACTGATGTGTATTTCAGCAAACATGTGTCTAGTACTAAGGAGGGTGGAAAGAATTCTCTATTTCTTTGCCAAGGATTGCAAAGTTGGGTTGAGATTCTGTAGGTTCTGCATAGATGTTCTTATTTTGGAATATGCAGGTCCTTGACATCCAAAATCTTATATATTCAGACAAAAATTAAGATCAAAATAGTTCTATTTTAATGCCCAGTTGTACTATTGGCCCAAGGGGTGGGGAATCTGTGGCTTTGGGGCTACATGTGGCCTTCTGGATCCTTGAGTGTGGCCTTTTGACTGAATCCAAATTTTACAGAACAAATCCCTTTATAATAAAAGGATTCAGTTGAGGGGCTGCAGGTGGGGATCCAGAGGGCCACATGTGGCCTTGAGGGCCACAGGTTCCCCACTGGTACTACTGCTTAATCTCAAGCTTTTGTTTTCTCAACGCAGGTTGTGGGTCCATAATTGAAAACAAATCCACATGTATTTTGCACACATTTTTGTTAGCTTTATTCCGTTATTCCAGCTCTAACATTTTTTGGTTAGGATGTCTTATTTTGCTTTCTTTCAGACCTGGCAACTACACTTAGAAGAAGAGAATCAACTTCAAAGCAGAGCAGTTTTTATGATGAACCATCTCATGGAGTGAAGATAGAAAAGTTGCCAAAGGACGATCCTTGGTTATCTTCATGTGAAGAAGTACATGATTGTAAGGACCGATTGGAGAAGCAACAAGAAAAACAAGAGAGACTTTTGCAGGAAGTGGCATTCACTGAAAGGAAAGCTATTATACATGAGAGAGTCTGCAAAAGCAATGAACTTGAGGAGAAGAGTGGTCTGAATTCCAGTCTTCTTTCATTCCCAGTGATACCCATAAGAAACCATTTTCATAAACATATGTCACGTGGTAAAAAATTGTATCATAATTCTGTTGTAAACAGCCACCAGAAGATTAATGATTGTGAGAAACTATGTGAAAATAATGAATGTGGAAAACCCCCTCAGAGCATTCACCTTATTCAGTTTACAAGAACTCAAACAAAAGATAAATCCTATGGATTTAGTGACAGTTTTCAATCTTTTAGCCATGGTACACCCTTAAACATACATGAAAAAATTCATGCTGGAGGAAGAACCTTTGATTTTAATGAATGTGAGCAAATTTTGAACCACAGCTTATCCCATAGTGAACAAGAGAAAATTCCTGTTAAAGAGAGTCGATATAAATGTAGTAAAACCCCTCAGAGTTCGTCCCTTGCTCAAAACATGAGAAATCATTCAGAAGAGAAACCTTTTGAATGTAATCAATGTGGGAAATCCTTCAGCTGGAGCTCACATCTTGTTGCACATCAGAGAACTCATACAGGGGAAAAACCTTATGAATGTAGTGAATGTGGAAAATCCTTCAGCCGGAGCTCACACCTTGTTTCCCATCAGAGGACTCATACTGGAGAGAAACCTTATAGGTGTAATCAATGTGGAAAATCCTTTAGCCAGAGTTATGTCCTTGTTGTGCATCAGAGAACTCATACGGGAGAGAAGCCTTATGAATGCAGTCAGTGTGGAAAATCATTCAGGCAGAGCTACAAACTTATTGCACATCAAAGAACTCATACTGGAGAGAAGCCCTATGAATGCAACCAATGTGGGAAATCATTTATCCAGAGCTATAAACTTATCGCACATCAAAGAATTCATACTGGAGAAAAACCCTATGAATGCAATCAATGTGGGAAATCCTTTAGTCAAAGTTACAAACTTGTTGCTCATCAGCGAACTCACACTGGAGAAAAACCCTTTGAATGTAATCAGTGTGGAAAATCCTTCAGCTGGAGCTCTCAGCTTGT